TCATTATGCAAAGGATCTATTGAATTTCCTTCCGTTGGAACCCATCTATCCATTGGAATTTAGACTTCACGATCTTCTGGCTGATTTTCTTCCACCACTTGTTCAATATTTTTGGTTTTTCCCATTTTTCTAAACACTTAAAAGAAACACGAGAAAAACTAGGAAGACACAACCTAAAGCTCTGATACTAAATTGACGCAAGCAAAAATTTTGGAAAAGCCCCAAATTTTTTGCGAGCAAAAACTAAACTCTTCCTAGGATAAGAAATTATAGAAAATACTAAAAAAACACCTTTTATATCATAAAAAGACACTTACAACTCTTGACACTTACAAACACAAAATAAAGACACATAAACTTGCATTTCATTTGTCAAGAAGAAGGATACAGGTAGGGTGGTCACTTGCGGATAGAAGAAGTAGGTTAGAAGCCGAGAAGAAATGGAGGAGAAGCTCGCAAGCTTTCATAGACAAAGAGAGGAAGAAAATACATAGCTCGCAAGCTATCCAAGAAAACCCTCAGGTTTCTTTCAAAAAATCAGCACACAACAACCTTTTTCCTTCTCAAAACATCTCTAATTTATAGGCAAAAGAAATAAGCCAAACAACTATTCCAACTCCAACCAAAACCAATCAGGTTTGGGGAAATGAAATGCCAAGGGGAAACTATAAAGCATTCTAAAAAACCTCCTATGAACTGGTTAACATTCATGGGACAACAACCAGGAACAAAACCGACAAACAGAGAAGACCCCACGGGCAGCATGAAATAGAACCGGGAAACAGAGAAATCCCAACGGGCAGCCAGGTAACAAAGAGCAAACGGCACAACAAGGGGAATGAACTTCATTTCAGAAACATCACCAGAGGAGAAGAAACCGAAGGGGTAAAGGGAAGAGAAAGAGACACAAGTCCACTCCACAATAATGAACTAAATAGAAGAATACCTTTTTGATTTTATGAGCTAAAAAGTGCATTTACTCCTCCATATATTGAGCTAAATTTCAGCTCAAGCATTAATGAGCTAACACCAAGTAGAACCAAACTTTTAAGCTCAACACCAAGCAGCCAAGGCCCAACCCGAGAGCAGCAAACAGCCCCAAACCGAGAACAGCAAGCAGCCCAAAGACAAGAAAGACCCAAATTTATTTGACCCCCCCTTGCATACATCAATTCTCCTCCGGTTGAAATTATTCATCTCCTAATGAAGCTTGAGTTTGCTCACTTGACACCAAGACTCAAATGACAACATGACTCAAAAACAAAACTTACATGACAACTAACATGACACCAAGACACACACGACAACCATGCTCTGATACCAATTTGATGCAAAAAATCCCAAATTTTTGCAAGCAAGAACAAAGCTTTCCTAGGTAATAGAAATTATATGAAATACCCAAAAATAGATAAAAATACGACTTCACTTTTATAATTTTAAACGACTCTTACAACTCTTGACACTTACAAACTTTTGACATAAAAAACCTAAACTTGCATTCCATTTGTTGAGAAGAAGGATACAGGTGGGGTGGTCACTTGCGTAGAGAAGAAGATGTTAGAAGCTAAGACGAAACATAGCTCGTAAGCTATAGAGAGGAGAAGAAGGGATGGAACAAGCTCGCAAGCTTTTCCAACAAATAAACCTGCAGGTTTAGGCTCCAAAAATCACTCACATATCATCCTTTTTAAGCCTCAAATTAGCCCCTATATATAGGAAGAAAGGGGGAAACCAAACAGCCACCTACCTCTTTTCAAACCAATGAAAAAGAGGGAAATAGAAGGCTAAGAGACATACCAAACAGTAGCTCAAAAGGCATCCCAAATATCAGCCAAGTTCATCCCAATCCAGGCTACAAGGGGCGGAACCAGCAGAAACCGAGGAGGCCAGGGAAAAAGGGGGCGGAACCCCATCAGCTTTTCACGGGAACAACAACAGCCAGGGGAAAATCGAGAAGACAAAGGGGAAGAGACACAAGTCCACTCCACAATAATGAGCTATATAGAAGATTACCTTTTTGATTTTATGAGCTAAAAGTGCATTTACTCCTGCAAATAATGAGCTAAATTTCAGCTCAAGTATTAATGAGCTAACATCAAGTAGAACCCAACTTTTAAGCTCAACACCAAGCACCAAGGCCTAACCCGAGAGCAGCAAACATCCCCAAACTGAGAACAATAAGCAGCCCAAGGACAAGAAAGACCCAAATTGAATTGACCCCCCTGCATACATCAATTCTCCTCCGGTTGAAATTATTCATCTCCTGATGAAGCTTGAGTTTGCTCACTTGACACCAAGAATCAAATGACAACATGACTCAAAAACAAAACTTACATGGCAACTAACATGACACCAAGACACACACGATAACCATGCTCTGATACCAAATTGATGCAAGCAAAAATTTGCGAAGGGCCCCAAATTTTTGCAAGCAAAAACAACACTTCCTAGGATAAGAAATTACATAAAATACTTAAAAAAACACCTTTTATATCATAAAAAGACACTTACAACTCTTGACACTTACAAGACACTAAATAAAGACACCTAAACTTGCATTTCATTTGTCGAGAAGAAGGATACAGGTGGGGTGGTAACTTACTGAGAGAAGAAAGAGGTTAAAAGACTAGACGAAGTATAGCTCGCAAGCTATAGAGAGGAGAGGAAGGTGGAAGCCCAACCCGAGAGCAACAAACAGCCCCAAACCGAGAACAACAAGCAGCCAAAGGACAAGAAAAACCCAAATTGATTTGACTTCTCCTGCTTAAATCACATATCTTTATTCTCATTGATTGTTATATTGGAGGTCATTATGATATTATTACTTTAGTTTACATCCAATTCAACAAAGGATTTCCCTATATTTCTTCTACATCAAACCAAATAGTTCAATTCACACAAAATATTTATTTTACTTTATATTCTAAGATTGCTTGCATTTATGAATGCAATTAAATACCCCCTTAGTAAATGTTATTTTTAGCAGATTAAAACTTCTAAAAGGGAGAGATTTCGTTATTTGGATGAGTGATTCTAAAAGTGTAATGAGTAAACCCCTCATGTCTATTTTCATCTAATTTTGCAATTCATGAACTCAATATATGCATCATAACTCGTGAGGATAAAATTAACCTCTTAAGTGAGGCGAGGACCAATAACATGTGTGCATATACAATGATAATGAAATTATTATTATTTTATAAAATGAATAAATGAATGCTTAAAATTAGATATAAATTGAAATCATCTAGTAATAAAGCTTTTTAATAATAAGAAACACTCAAAGAATTTAATTCAATTTCACTATAAGAAGATAAATCATCATTCAGACTATAAACCTTAGCTTTGGATTAAGGCCTCTTAAAACTTATTTTTCCAACAATAACAGCAACTTCACCTTAATCCCACTATGCGGGGTCGGCAACTTGAATCCTTTTTTTTCCATTGTGATATATTAAGAGCAAATTCTCATTTCAATCAAATAAAAAAGGGTCTTTTCTAATATTTTCTAACCAAGTCTTTTCAGGTCTACCTCTACCTTTCCTAACATAAGCCAAATTTAATATATCTACTCTTTTAACCGGGTCATCGGAAGGCTGTCATTTTATGTGACCAAACCATCAAAGGCTACTCTCTCTAATCTTATCTTCCACTGGAGCTACTCCATCCTTTTCACGTATATGCTCGTTTCGTATCCTGTCTCTAAGAGTAAGCCACTCATCCACCTGAGCATCCTCATATATATAACACTCAACTAAATATTATGCTTCTCTTTTAATGATCAACATTCTACACCATAAAGCATTGCAAGTCTCATCGCCATCTTATAGAATTTTCCTTAAGTTTTTGAGGGACATTTCTATCACACAAGCCCAATGCATTTGTAGTGATCAAGTTCTTGCCACAAGTTTTGAAGGAGACTGGCATTTTCGTTACAGTTTTGATTCTTTGTTTTGTGCTTCTCACCTTGATCTCAATTTCAAAGATCTGGGCAGCATTCAGAGCCTTTAAGAAGGTTTTCCTCGTAGCATCCCATATGTCCTTTGCAGTAGATAGGAGCATAAAAGTATCACTAATTTCTGGAGTCATGGAATTTCACAACCATGACATAATCATAGGTCCGCTTCATCCCTTGCCCAAAAAATTAGGATCTCGTTCTTTTGGTCCTACCCCAAGGAGGTGATTCAACTTTCCTTTATCTTTCAAGCAGGTCTTCATAAATTGAGACAACTTCAAGTAATTATTCCCATTTAAACGATATTAAGGTTGCATATTTTGGAGATATCTTCTTCTTTGGTGCATCATAGAGTCCTCCATCTGGTTAAAACTTTGGGCGGATTTGCTTCAGACATTGTGGCTGCAAATGGTAGCGATGAAGGCTATATCAAACAGGGTAGCAGTGAAGGCTACATTGGTTATAGATAGGATAACAACAAGGGAAGGTCGGCAATGAAGGCACGACAATACAAAAGACTTAAAATTCTGGCAATGGCAATGAAGGATCTGATACCATGTTAAATTCAGAGAATTCGAGATGGAAAAGGCTTAATTTTATTGCATAAAATTATCCATATTTATAGATCTATACAAGATAACTTAATAAAGAAATAAATAATTACAAATCATGCATAATCGCTCTAATATAATTCTTCCTAAATCAGCCAATTAAATATGGAAGGAGATCGGCGCGATCAAGGTAAGTCTCCCACATATTCCCATCCTAGCTGTGGGATCAAAATGTCATGGGACGGCTGTGATTTAATAGATGAGTCTCTCGCGGATTCCCATCCAAGCCGTGTGATCAAAATGCCAAAAGACGGCTAGGATTTAATAGTGGATTTCTTATTTTTAATTATGATTTATCTCCTGTGTTTATTACCCTTTTATTTCTTTAAAAAGCTACATCTTTTCTATAATTTACTTTATCTGTCGAGTACTCTACATCTAATTTTTACCTTATTTCTTGTTCTTGATTTGCTACTTTTTTCCTCTTTTCTTAGCAAGCCAGTGGCGTGAACCAACCTCTTCTAACCAGTGAACTTGGAACCTTGGTATGTAGTTTTTAAATTGTCAATTCCAAGGGATTTCACTTTGCTTGATACTATGATAGCATAAAACTTCTTAATTCGGCTGCAGTTTGTTTTCTTTACCGGTGGAATTGTATTCCTAACACTGATTATCAATGGGTCAACCACCCAGTTCCTCTTACACCTTTTGGCTATGGATAAGCTATCAGCTGCCAAGGTTAGTCTGTGACATTGAAAGTGATACGACTGCATTCCTATTATCAAGTATGTTGTTGAAGTACTTAGGAATCAACTCATTTTAGACTATTTTTATACCATTTTATTATTTTATTACATTTGTACTTTGATTATTTTATCTTAGGCTGCTAAAATTTCTGAAACTGGACTGAAGCATGAAAATGGATTTGTGACTTCACTGTTCCCAATTGCTTTTGCTTTGGGTATTTCTAACAACCACACACACACACACATATATATATTATTGCACTGCACTATGCCGCTCGATATAACACACGTTCTTCTTCATTGCTAGCAAAGGCGACCATTTATGGTATGCTTCTGAGTTTATTTTTTAGCATAATGAAGAAGTTTGAATATGGCAACCTTTTCAGCACTTTCAAAGGTGTTGTAATTCCAAATCCATCAATCACTTCTAATACTTTCTCAGCAAAACTGCTTGACAAAAATTGTAATCAATTATTGACTCTTTGGAGGGGGTTATTAGATTATAGTCAGGCATAAATAGATATTAAGTTTATAAATGCCAAAATTTATGAGATTTTAAATGCAAATTTTTTAAAGACACTCCTGTTGGCCTAAAATACCAAGTTTCCTCTTTGTTCTCTCTCCTTAAAAACACCAAACAGGCTACCCCTCTTTATAAACTCCAATTAATCACTTTATGATTTATTGTAGCTATGAATCATATTAAGCAGATGAATATGTTATTATAATTTGTATATAGGGTTATTCTATGCATGAAATAGTTGATCTTAAAATGATGTTGCTAGTTTTTTTTTATTCTATGCATGAAATAGTTGATCTTAAAATGATGTTGCTAGTTTTTTTTAATTAATTTTTTTAACTTAAAGTTTTGAACTGCTTATATTAAAGCTTTTAGTGGCTTGGTTGTTGGCATAGTTGGCATTCAGCTTGTGTTACCGGATCAATCTCTTTGAAGGAAAAAGTTTTTTTATAAATTACTGAGACCTGACCTAATTTTTATACTTATATGAAGATTCAAGCTGGTGGCTACACATTGCCTCCATACTTGGGAACATGATTTCAAGCCCTAGGGTTGGAATATTGAAAATTGGAGGATATAGTCCCTAATTTTGGCCTATAATAATAATAATAACAACAACAACAACATCATGCCTTTATACCACTGTGGGGCGGTAGAATGAATCTTTTTTCTCCATTGCGTTTGGTGAAGAGTCAAATTCTCATTTAAATCTAATAATAAATGTCATTTTTAATACTTTCTAACAAAGTCTTTTTATGTTTACCTCTACCTTTCTTATCAAAGGCCAAATCTAATACATCTACTCTTCTAACCGGGTCATTGGAAGGCCGAAATTTTATGTGTCCAAACCATCTAAGGCGACTCTCTCAAATCTTATCTGCCATTGGAGCTACTCCAACCTTTTCACATATATACTTGTTTCACTTTCTATCTCTAAGAGTAAAGCCACTGATCCACCTGAAAATCCTCATCTCTGCAACGCTTAACTTCATTTATGGTGCTCTTTTAATGGCCAGCATTCTGCACCATAAAACACTACAGGTCTGACCACCATCTTATAGAATTTTCCCTTAAGTTTGAGGGTACTTTTCTATTACACAACAAACCCGATGCTTTCCTCCACTTCAACCAAATAAATAAATAAATAAATAAAAAGCTAAATCCATCTGATCCAGCCAATAATTATAAAAATAGTTAGTTTTGGTTGAACCAAACTAAGATTTTTTATTGTCTTTGACTGAGTGGAATTAATATATTGATTGAATTTCTTTTGAGCCATTGGCCGAAACCTTTGCTTGTATAGGCTATAGATTTGAGATGACTTGAGTGAATGTAGTTGTAGTCCTAGAATAAAAAAATTGACTTGGAAAAATCTTATAACTTTTCATAAATCCCTTGAAAATGCTGTAAAATATCAAAAGATCTCCAAGCTTGATAATGTGGTTAATCTTTTATATCCTTAAATATGAAGGGCAATGTATAGGCTCTCTACACCAATTGTAACGTCCTTGTTTGACCAACATCCCTCTTCACTTTTCTTCTTTTTTGGCATGCTCTTATTCCTTCTTGTTTGGCGGTTGTTGTGATGAGTAACAAGTGTTGAGGGCCATTTTCATGGGAAATATGTATCCAATTAAGTTTCTTGTTTTTATGTGAGGTGGTGGGAACCTCTTTGTGAAAGAAAACTCACTCTACTTATTGAGGCTTTAGGGAGTTTGTGGAAGCTTTTGGTTTGATTGGTGACTAGATACCTTTGGGTGCCCTTATAGACTCCTGTTTTTTTGAATTGTTATTTTTTAATCAATTCTCTTGTGAGCCAAACAATACCAATTTAACATGATTTCCATTATGGAATAAGCTTTTCAATCTCTGTTGATTTTTTTCGTAGATGTTTTGTTAGTCCGAAAATTTTAAAAGATTAAGCATTTTATAAACTTCAAAATTCTTATGCTTGGGGAAAACTCACAAGAAGCCTCATCTAGACTAACTTAATGTATTTTTTTTCCATTTCTGTATTTTTTGATCTTTGTTTAAGTGCTTACTTTTGAATTTGTTCTTTCTGGAGTGAGCAAAAAGAGTTTTATTGTTTGCAAAAATATTGTAGTATATTCTCAAAGTTGATCCTATCAACCCAATTTGACGGGTTAGACTATAAGTTGGTGTGCAAAAAGAGTTTTATTGTTTGCAAAAATATTGTAGTTGACTAGTCTTGTATAATTTATTAATTTCTAATGGCTAGTTCAAGGAAAAGACTACAATTTTGCCATTTTATTTTCACATATTTGTTATTCAACCAATTTTTATTTGATTATCAAAATTTGAAAATGGCTTCTAGTAATAATATAGTCCTATAGTCCATTTTGTCGTCCTCGTCATCATCCTAATAAACTGTCCCAACTATTTGTCTATTATGTATGGTGCTTAAATTTTTGTGAACATAAGAAAGAAATTCATGGAACTTAGTCTCAAGGACTTTTTTTTTCATCCTTATCGTCATATCAAAATAGTGTATGGGGTTTTGCGTAAAATAAATGATCTATTTCTGTCTTCCAAAAAAAAAAAGAAGAATCTTATTTTGCAGTTTTTGTAATGTTTGGCTCTTAAACCCTTCATTATATTTCAGTTTACCTCTTTATGGTATACTGCCTTTAGTCAATCCAGTTCTCATGACATTACATTTGCATGGTTGAAGATTCGTATTTTGAACTACACAAAATATGAAATGTTAAAGAAGTCTTTGGAAGCGTATAGTGATCTCGTAGATGATGAAGAACTTGGAGCTGCTGATTGGCCAACTGTGCAAAGATATATAACCTGTCTAAGTAACTTGGAAGCAGATGAGCATCCCCATGTTGTAACTGAAAGCGAGGATCATCTAAAGAGGATGAGCCTAAGTGACATGCGAGTAAGGCTTCTGAATGGTATGTTGCCGCGTAATGCATAATGTTTTTTTTTAGTTTTGCGACTGTTCACTAATTAATTGCCTTGTATTCTTGAATGCTGTAATATTTAACTGATCCGTTAACAACTTATTTGTTGATATCCTTACCTAAAATGTATTACCCCTTTCTCAAAATGCATTAACTCTTATCCCTTAACCCCCTTACTTTTGAGGAATTTAGTGGTGCTCAATATGATCATTCTTCATCCTAGCATTTATTTGGCAAAGTTATTTCATAATAATGGGTTGGCTATTTTGCCATTATCTTTGATTTGAATTTGAGTTGTGCTAATGGTAATTTCACAATTGATAATCTGTGAACAACTTTCATATGTAGGAATCTATGGATTGCTTTAAGTGGGAGATTATTATTTGTACTGATGACCTGTTGCATGTCTCTTTTATGCATTCTAATTAACTTTTTATTATACGGAAGTTGATATCTCACTATCATTTCAGGTGTGCAAGCTGCCTATTGGGCTATGCTTGATGAAGGAAGGATATCTCAAGCCACTGCAATGATTTTAATGAGTTCCGTAGATGAAGCTATGGATGTGGTGTCTACTGAGACTTTAAGCGATTGGAAGGGCTTGAAGTCCAATGTTCATTTTCCAGGGTATTACAGATTTCTTCAGATGAGCAGACTCCCACAGCGGCTGGTCACCTATTTTACAGTGGAAAGATTGGAGTCGGCATGTTCACTTTGTGCAGCTTTTCTTCGTGCACACAGAATAGCCAGACGGCAACTTCATGACTTTATTGGTAGGTTGTTCTCTTTGTATGGGGGGCATCCGCCTTGCCCTTTTACTTTAAGCGATCTATCTTTTACCTTATAAGTCCTTAAGATAATCCAACTTACTGCAGTAGATGTTTTTGGTGCTTTTTTCTTGGTTTTTTATGTGTTGGCAAATTTTTCATACAAGGTCATTTGAATGTTCGTAAGCATAGTTTTTACTACTGATGCATCATCTAAGACGGTTAACCTATTTTATTCATCTAGCACTTCCAAACCTTACTGTTTATCACATCTCGTTCAAATTGAGTTCTTTCTGATTATATTGTGATGAATACAGTTTATAATGAGATCGGTTCTTGCATTGCTTTAGAGAATCAGTAATGGAAGGACTTTAGTTAGAAAAATGCTTACGGTACTATGATTTCCATGTGGTTAGACAATGAGGAAGCAATAGTGAGAAACAAGTCCGAAAAAGACCCCTCCTATGTATTTGCTCTTCACCCTTCGAGTAACTCTTATAAAGCTTTTTGCTTGAATTGTTTTTGGAATTCTGGTGGATTCTATAAATAAATCCTAATTGAAATAATAAAAAATGTCGCTGTGAAAGCTAAGGACCCAACAAGGCTGCCCTGTTTTCTCTCTCAACCTCTCGAATACTTTTCTTTAATTGAAAAAATGGGAGCTATCCTTATTAAATAAAAATGCAATTACTTACAAATGGAAGGCAATTGCGCCTGGAAAAAAAATAAAATCAATAACTACACCTATGTTAAAGCTCCTTTGGGTTCTCAGGTAACCTAAATCTTCCATTGCTTGTTTGAGAATTCCCTACATTTTATTATGCGAAATTGAGGAAAAAAAAGATCAATTTGATGATTTTGTACCAAAGTAATTTATCACCAACTGTCATTTTGTTCTTAAAACAAGCACCATTTCTCTTTCCTTAATAACTAATAGTTTACATCAGTAATATCTCTTCCTTGAATGAAACCTCCTTTAGAGAAATCGATAAATTTTGAAATAACTTGACTTCCTGTTGGCTAGCAACTTGGTGAAAGGTTTTAAGTACAAATGAAGAAGATTAATTGGTCTGAAATTGTAATGTCTCGAACTAGAAACTTTTCGTTCTGTTGGTTTCATTGCTTGGAGTCGAGGAAGATGAAGGGGACTGTAGGAGCTTCATTGCCTGGAGTTGCTAAGGAGAGAAACACGAGTTGTCTTGTCAGAAAAAGGGGAAAAGGGTTTCATTCCGATAAATCAATGAGATATAATGGAGAAACAGAGAGGAATATTAAAGCAGAAGGGCGCGAGAGAGAGAGAGAGAGAGAGAGAGAGAGAGAGAGAGAAAGGTATGAGTGTATGTTGTAAGTTTAAGAAGTAAGAACTTCAACTTATTTAGTCTCACATCACTTAGTGAACTTTCTCTTAGTAATGTTTATATTTTATATTGCTTTTTTGAGTTTTGTTGGGGTAAGAACTCACATGGAGTGATAGAGCAATGTGAAATGCTTAGTTAAAATTTTATTTAAAAATTAAACATTTTAAATGTAAATTAATTTGTTATTCGTAATATATGAAATTAATTTATTTAATTATGTAAATAATTCAAAAAATGAACAGTCCAGTTCAAGGGAACCGGGACCAGCTCGTCGATTGAACTGGTAGTACTAGCCGATTTGATTCAGAAATGGATTTTAGGATGAAACGGACCGGGCTTAGGACCAGTTGGTTGGATTGGGTTGTCCTGTCTAGTTTTTAAAACCCTGATTATGGGAGAACGTAATTGAGCATTGATTATGATGTGCTTCTAATGTTTCTCAAAATCAATGTGGATTTATGCTGGGTAGGTTTGCTATGAAAGCATAATATTTATTGAGAGTTTTGATGAAGAAGTATAGGGAGAGTAGGAATGATTTAAATATTATATTTATTGATTTAAAATAAGCATATGATAAAGTTTTAGGAGAAGTACTCTGGAGAGTTTGAAAAGAAAGAAGTTAATAATGCTTATATTAAAGTTATTAAAGATATGTACACATGAGCTTTTACTTGTGTTCAAACACAATGTAGATTGATTAAATAGCTCCAGTGGCAGATACCATTATAAATCGTCACCTTAGATGATTTGGTCATAAAAAATCGTCGGCCTTTTGATGACATTGTTAGAAGAGTAGATGTATTAGATTTAACCTATGTTAAGAAAGGTAGATGTAGTCCTAAAATGACTTGGTTATAATATATTTAAAATGATTTTTTTATTAGATTTAAATGAGAATTTGACTCGTAATAGGACACAATGGAGAAAAATGATTCATATAGCTGATCTTATATAGTGGGATAAAAGTTTGTTGTTATTGTTATGAGTAATTAATTAGATTTTATAAGAGTAGAGAACTTACGAGTTAAGGATGATTTATATAGAAAAAAAATAGAGTACATTTATTAAGCTAATTAAACTTAATTGTTTAATTAAAGAGAGATTATTAAATAATTATATATAAATATAAATGTATAAATTATAATAATGAATACTTTTATTTTAGAAAATAATAATAATTAAATTAGGATTTTTCATCCATTTTAAAATGATTAGCATATTAATATATAAATATATAGAGAGAGAAAGAGAGTTAAAAAAAGGCATTTTTATATAAAATAAAAAATTGGAATTAGTTCAATATATTTAATTTACTAATTAAAGAGTGACTTTGTTAAGATATATTGTAGATGGTAATTAAGCTCATAAAGATATTTATACGTATGATTATAGGTATTTGTATGATTAGGTATCTAACTATTGGAGTTCGTGTAGAGACTAAAAAGGGGAAAACCTATCCTTTTGAATTTGATGTGAGTACTCATATTTCTAATTTATGGTAAAGACATTGTTTCTTCTAAACTTGATGCTTTATTTATTATTGATATTTACCAATAAATTATAATCACACATTACTTCTGATTTATCACTATTATAAATAACTGTTCATTATAAATTGAATGACATGAAATTTTTATCATATTGCAGTCATTTATCACAAGTAATATGATGCTTATGATATAACTGTATAAAATGATATGAAAAAGTACAAATAAAATGATTTATATATAAAATTTTGCATGAATATGTTCACTGATGGAGTACACCCTCTTATAGAATTGGTTGAGGATGTAATGTACCAATGCAAGTGATTGGGAAATATTTTGGAAAAGAAAATGAAAGTGGAAATACCATAGTTATTACTATTTACATGATGTCTTTTTTGATTGTCTTAGTTACAAAAAATGATAAGTTATGATATATATGTTATATATGCATAGCATATTATTTATAGTCATTTTTCAAAATAATGTCATTAATAAATAAAGTTACTTTATTAAATAACATCATTACTTTATTGTCATTAAAAAAAGCATATTGTTCAAAAATATCATTATATTACTATAATTTAGAAGCATAAGGTGCTCACTAAGTTGTGTTATAAGTCACCCTTATCATTACAAACGTACACATGTATTAAATAAATTTGTGGAAGAGATGAAAACTTGTATCGTAGACATGATGTTCCGAAAGGGAGGTATCTATTTAAAACAATTATAATATTTTTCATTAAAATATATTTGGAGTTTATAGTGACTCTTTCAAGATATTGGAATTAGTTTGTTTAGCAAACAAAATTTGAAATAACTATCCGATTGGCTATTCCCTCATTAGTTTGAACTTCCAAGCCAGGTCGTGACTGAAATCCTTAAGAAGTTCACAATAGTCTTGCTTCAGAATCCCATTGAATATCTTTTAAAGTTGTTTTGGTGAATTTGTTTGGGAATTGTAGCAGGATCAACTTTACCGTCTTGGGACTAATCAATAAATATGTCTATTTTTTTTTTTGCATATAATATGCTTATTTCCCTTTTTAAGATAAATGGAGCTTAATTTTTATATTTTGTGTATATTTAAGCTTAGTTACTATCTTGTAGATCCTTTTGCTGCCAAATTTCTACTCTATGTTAGAAGCTGCAGAACAGAAATATTTTTGCCCTAATAACAGAATGAAGATGGAGAATCTATTCTTACTGGTGGCCGTTTCTTGTTAGGTGATAGTGAAATTGCTTCTATGGTTATTAATGAAAGCAGTGAAGAGGGGGAAGATGCAAGAAAGTTCTTGGAAGACGTCAGAATTAATTTACCTCAGGTTTTAATATTTACGTATCCTATTTTGATAGAATGCAGTATTGCTTCTAGGTGTGGAATGTTCCCTTAAACTCCCTCCTTTTCCTCCTTCAATGTTATCAGACTCGTACTTTGATGCACCAGCATACACACACAAGTGCACTTATCTGTCTGAGCACTGACATAAAATATGCACTTCTGTTTCATAAGAATTAGAGACCCATCGGCTATTTTTTATATTTAATGAATGGGTTGATTATTTTTTTTAAGGCAACAAAGAAATTGTTATGACATTATTGTTAAATTTACTTGAGAGCATCAACTATTACCTAAGATCTCTGTGTATTTTGGAGCATCTTCAGGTGCTCCGCGTTGTGAAGACGAGACAGGTAACATATTCAATTCTGAAACATTTGAGTGAATATGTTCAAAATCTTGAGAAGGTTGGACTTCTAGAAGAAAAGGAGATGGTTAATCTCGACGATGCTGTGCAGGTATATCAGCTGTTTGAAAAACTCATGGAATTGTTCCATCCAATTTATATCACGCATCTAATTCTGAGAGAAGCATTCCGTTATGACAGAGTGACTTCAAAAGGCTATTAAGAAATCCTCCGTTAGTAAAAATGCCAAAAGTGAGTGATCTAATTCGTGCACATCCTTTGCTTGGAGCTCTTCCTGTTGCTGTGCTTGAACCCCTTGGTAGTTCTACAAAAGAATTAATTAAAGTGCGTGGCACGACCTTGTACAAAGAGGGGTCTAAGCCAAATGGGATTTGGCTTATTTCAATGGGCGTTGTGAAGGTTTGCACTTATATCTTGCTACTCTGTTTTATCATTTAATAGTCTTTTCTAAAAAAATCTAACAAGATTTTAGCATTGAAATGTTACAAAAACGTTTTTTTCTTTTTTATGGAGGGCTTATAAATATTGTTTCTTTGTAATACAGTGGGAAAGTGGAAGCCTCCGTAACAATCATTCATTGCATCCAACTTTTTCTCATGGAAATACTTTGGGACTTTATGAAGTTCTAGTTGGAAAACCCTATTTGTGCGACATGATTACAGATTCTGTGGTTCACTGTTTCTTCTTTGACAGTGACAAAATTCTTGCCCTTGTCAAGTCAGACCCTGCTATAGAAGGATTTCTGTGGCAGGTGAATTTTCATTTTCTCAATCGATCCCTGATGTTCCTTTTATTTACAAAGTAGAAAATTAAGAGTTGGTCATTGCATACTGGTATAGAAGTCAAGTTAGAAAGTTCTTGCTTACTTATTTGAGCTGTGTAAACTTAAGATGGGCCGTTGATGTATATTCTCATCTTTCTTTCTATGAATGTTATTTATCTATCTGTAATAGGGTTTTATTGGTGTTTGTCTTTAAAAAGATTTATTAGGAATCATTTATAACACAAGTTTGGGTTCATGAGAAATACCATTGATTTTCATAGATATGCTCTAATCTACCATGCATTGTAGTATATATCTACTAAACATTTTACAGAACGTTTTCACTTAAAAATTGTTCCAATTTGTCTTATATAAGATGTGTTATTAATAAAGAACCTGCCATGAGGACCTGATAAACGCCAACTTGATAAATGCTCAATTTTTATGGTGCCTATCATTAATATTCAACTGGTGTAAAGTGTCATTATGTTTGTTCATGGAGCTGAGTTTCTGCTGTGTTTAGTGGGTTCCAAGTTAGGGTTTTCTTGAAATTATTTGTGTAACATAAATCATCTGCACATATCAAAAGAGAGGGACATCATAAGCCAATATGAAGTGTTTTGTTAACTAGTTGTAATATTTATGCAAGCTATGGATTTGTTGACCTGCAAAACTAAAATTGGACCAGCTCTCACTACCCATAACTCTACCTCGTCGGTTCCCGCAATCCCACGATCTCCACATAACTCCCCACATTCACTCCTCACGACACAAAAGGCCCTATCTTTCCCATTCTAGATTTCCTCACACATAGAATCGCAAGCAAATAGGCTCTCGATCCCTCTCGTTGAGAACCCCTCAGCCGCACGCGAGAAGCTGCGCCCAATCCCTCTTCTCCCTCTTCGGCCACTGTTCGTTCATAGACTACATGCAGGAATCACTCCCGTTACTGTCAGCCCTCCGATCCCGAGTGAGCCCAACGCCCTCCTTCACTCGCCTTCAGCGATCATGTACGAACTCGAGCTCCCTTCCTTTTTGTTTGCTCCGTGTCTGACTTCCCCACACGCGGACCAAGTCGAACTCTGGCCTCCGCCGATTGTGAAACCCACCCGAACCACACAACCAAATCTTCAATCCATTTCCCACATAGTTGCTCCACACGCGAGTAGGAACCCAACTTCTGATTTCTCCTGCCCGTTTGATCCGCACACGAGCCGCAAGCTTGCCACCCAAGCTGATCCTCTCTATAATTTTGTGAGTAAAGAGGAAGGAACCATATATCTTTTATAATAATAATTATTATTATAGTTAATTATAATAAGAATTATTATTATTATAAAAATTAAAAAAGAGGAGAAAGGAGATGTCGAAATTGCCAATTATAGGAACTGAAGACCAATTCCGGGAACAAACAACATCTTGAAGCCTTCAACCGTTGACTATCCAGTTGGGCGACCTTGCAAGGCAAGTGCCCTCCCCAACCTCCCCTCACAAGGAAGGAGTGCCAGAAGACTACTGAAAAATTTGGGAAAACATCAGGGCCTTGCGTGATAATTGGAAGGCAATTTCGTGACTTGGTCGGACAATGAGTTACAACCAGTCTTGTCATTAAGAATTCAGGATGATCCACTTTGGATATTAGCGTTGTTATGTTGACTGACATATAATGGTGTAGCTTGTACCATGATCTTTATGAGCACAAAGATTTAAAGAACAAATTATCTAGGGGATTCAAATTTATTTGTGGATGATACTCGACCTTACTAGGAGATGAACTCGCTAAGGGGTGACCTGGAACTTGTGTGAGAATGATGAAAAAGCTATTTAAGAAACTATAAAGAAATGCTTAGGGGGGTCAAGTTCTCACCATCAAAAGGATGCCAAGAAAGATAAAAAATGTCTAAAATGCTCAATTTTATCCCTTATAGCCATAGGGATCCAAGGGTTGTACGAAAGGCTAGATTAAGAACAATAAAATATATTGACTTAAATAACTCTTGGTATAGATTACCTAGAATGCTTGGTTGGCTGGAGGGGTGATGCAAGCAAAAATATAGGGAAACCCAAATTTTTGCAAGCATATTACAAGATTTCTTAGGCTATAAGAAAATACAGAAAATACTCAAAATTACAACTTTTATGGAAATAAAATGACGCTTACAACTTTAAATAGAAAGATATAACTTCACTTTGACAACTTGGAATGACTCTTACAAACTTATGAAATAAAAACACCTAAAGTTAATTTCATTCGTCGAGAAGAAAGATACAAGTGGCGTCGAACTTGTGGAGAGAAGAAAGAGGTTAGAAGCCGAGATGAAGAGAGGACATGCTCGCAAGCTTTCCTAGAAGGAGAGGAAGCACGGAACAAGCTCACAAGCTTTTCCAAAGAAGGAAGAAAAACCCTCAGGTTTTTATTTCCAAAAATCAGCCATAAAACTCTCACACACTCTCTTTTTATCCACAAAACATCACATATTTAGGAGAAATGGGGCAGTCAAACAACCCAAAATGTCTCCAACTGAACCAATCAAAATAGGGGAAATAGAAGGCTAGCAGGCTGTCCAGAAGTAGCACCCGAAGTGCCACACAGGGAACCAGAAAGGCAGCCACAGGAGACAGGAATAGGCACCACAGGGAACCAGAACAGGCAGCCAAAGGGGGGAAGGAACCAGCCACGGGAAAAGGAGTCTAGGGGAGGAACCGAAGGGGCACAGAGAAGGGAAGAGGGTGATTCACCCTGAATTTGCTCATTAATCTCAGCATTAATGAGCTAGAGCCTAGCAGCTCCGCAAAACACAGCAAAACCGAACAGCCAAGCCCCAAACCGAGAAGCACTAGTAGCCCAAGAGCCAAGGCTCATGATTTGACCCCCCCTCCCCCTTGCCTACATCAGATTCTCCCCCGGTTGAGAAATCTCATCTCCTGATGAGTTTGTCTCAAAATTATGAAGATCAGACATTTCTAATTCCTAAATTAGAATGTCATACTTTTGTTTGATGATTTTCTTTTCTCGTTCAAATTCATACAGGGGTTGAGGTTTTTTAACTTCGAATCTCTCGGCACTTAAACTTAGTTTCTCTTGAATCTTGAAAAGCTCAATCTGTAAAGGATCTGAAGAATATGCACGATGAGGGACCATTTTAATGTTTGGAAGATTGTCCTTTGGATTACTTGGCTGATATGATTTTCCATATTTCTAAAGAAAGAAAAGAAGACTCAACAAAACTTAAATTCACTCAATACTAAGACTCATACAACAACTATCATGACTCACCAAGACTCACTCGACAATCCGCTCTGATACCAAATTGATGCAAGCAAAAATATAGGGAGACCCAAATTTTTGCATGCATATTACAAGATTTCCTAGGCTATAAGAAAATACTCAAAATTACAATTTTTATAGAAATAAAATGACGCTTACAACTTTAAATAGAAAGACACAACTTCACTTTGACAACTTGGAATGGCTCTTACAAACTTATGAAATAAAAACACCTAAAGTTGCGTTCATTTGTCGAGAAGAAAGATACAAGTGATGTCGAACTTGCGGAGAGAAGAAAGAGGTTAGAAGCTGAGATGAAGAGAGGACAAGCTCGCAAGCTTTCCTAGTGGGAGAGGAAGCATGGAACAAGATCGCAAGCTTTTCCAAAGAAGGAAGAAAAACCCTCATGTTTTTATTTCCAAAAATCATCCATAACACACACACACTCTCTCTTTTTATCCACAAAACATCACATATATATAGGAGAAATGGGGCAGCCAAACATCCCAAAATGTCTCCAATTGAACCAATCAAAATAGGAGAAATAGAAGGCCAGCTGGCTGCCCAGAAGCAGCACTCGAAGAGCCACACAGGGCACCAGAAAGGCAGCCACAGGAGACAGGAATGGGCACCACAGGGAATCGGAAAAGGCAGCCAAATGGGGGAAGGAACTAGACACGGGAAAAGGAGTCTAGGGGAGGAACCGAAGGGGCACAGAGAGGGGAGAGGGGGGAATGAACCTGAATTTGCTCATTAATCTTAGCATTAATGAGCTAGAGCCTAGCAGTTCCCCAAAACACAGCAAAACCGAACAGCCAAGCCCCATATCGAGAAACACCAGCAGCCCAAGAGCCAAGGCTCATGATTCTGAATGGCCTTTGATGATCTGGCTTTGATGCAAATTCAATAGTGCCAAGTAGGTTCATGTGAGTATGCTTGGGTGAGTTCATAGATGGGTGTTGAGATGAGGGGGTTGGCGACTGTCAAGTTAGTTGAGGTTGTTGGTGACTTATGTTGATAGCCTTAGATTGCCTTTGAAGAGAAGAGGCCAGTGAGGTGCTATTACGGGAAAGGAGGGATCTTGGTCTGATGATTACAATAAGACTAACTGAGGGCCTCATGAGTAGGCGCATTTCTGTAGTTGAGTATGATATGTATGAGTGAGGATGCCTGCTCTAGGAGAGAGCGAGTGATCATGACGGCTTTCTTCTCATGTAGTGGGTGACTTACTTGCTTGGTGAAGAACTTAAGACTGCCTCCTACAAGGGACGACCTCCATGAGTAGGCTTGGATGAGCAGTGTCTATTGATTATTCGGAGAAGCTCTCCTGTGCATTCTAGGCGAGTAGCTCTCTTGGACTATCAAGCGAGTTCTTTTGTGGGCCCTGCTAGGTGAGAGTTCCTTCATCGAAATTTGCCTACTACCAGTAAGGCACTTGCTGAGGTATATGCTAGTAAACATTATCTGATGAGCAGTATTCTTTAATTTCATAAACTGGTTAATTTAGCAGCTGATATTTGAGTTGCGTGATATTAATGATTGTTTTCATCAAAACCAAAAACTATATTTTATTTCTTTGAATTTTTTTCCCACATGCTAAGCCATTTCGACTTTCTTACTGATTGTTTGTGTAACTCATGAGTGATCTTGTTTGTTCAATTGCTTTCCTTTCCCTGAGAACTTAGTCCTGTCTTCATGAGTTTTTACTTCTCTTGGTGTTTGTTTGTTTGTTTTTTTTAATTTTATTTTATTTTTGGTGCAGGAAAGTTCATTAAGCATATCCAAAATCCTTCTTCCTCAAATATTTGAAAAAATGACAATGCATGAATTGAGAGCCCTTGTTGCTGAAAGATCGTCAATGAATGAATACATAAGAGGAGAAACCATAGAGATAAGATCAAATGTCATTGGTCTTTTATTGCAAGGGTTTGTAAGGAATGAAGATGTCCAGCAAGAGTTTATCACATCTCCTGCAGCATTGTTTCCTTCACATTCAAATCTGTCCATAGTTAGTTCACGATCCACTGGTTAGTTTTTTGCAGTCATCATGCTAAGATACCTTTTATTTTTTTCTTCATCACTACATTATGCTCATTCATGTTATTACAATTAACATCTCTAAATGACACGAACTTTTGAAATCTTGTTCTTTGACTCTTTCAACTTGTTCAATGTGGCAATGGAGACACCGGATAACATTTAGTGCAATCCAAGTCATTCTGTAAACAGTGAAGATAATTTTTAACTACAAGGGATTGCACCCATGAGAAATTTCGATGTCAAATGTAAACAAATCTGTAATCTCAGCAGAAATTGATTATCAATCTGCATCTTGAAATTTCCATTGAATCCTTAAATTGTCGAGGTTCTACTACTTCTTAAGAACTCAATGATTGAAAGTGGTTTATTTTAGACTTCATGGCATGGCTTGAATATTTGCTTACATTTATCACTCTCTAGTTTGACAACTTCTAACTAGTCGTTGGATAAAGGTGATTTTGTGCCTAGCAGACGTTCCTTAATAGTGGCATGTTTCCTGATGCAAGCAAAAATTTGGGAAAACAACTCTTAATTTTTGCAAACAAATGAAAGTTCAGAAAATACTCAAAATTAGACAAATTACAATTTTTATAAAATAAAAACGACTCTTACAACTTTTGACGCTTACAAACGCAAACATAAACAACACCTAAAGTTGCATTTCTTGATTGAGAAGAAAGGTACTGATGGGGTGGACACTTGCGGGGAGAAGAATGAGGTTAGAAGCCGAGACGAAGTATAGCTCGCAAGCTAAAGAGAGGAGAAGAGATGGGGGACATAGCTCGCAAGCTATTCCAAAGAAGGAAGAAAAACTGATGAGGACATCGGAGATCAACGGCTACGATCTTGAGCTATTTATTTATATGTTTTTGTACTAGTTTATTTCATATTGTTGTTTTTCCCTTTATACCCTTATGGGTGGTCATGTAGTGTTGTAGCCCGAAGGGCATTT